TGATAAAGGAGGCTCCCTCTGCCCCACCCAAAAAGATACCTCATTCAGAATAAGTGCCACTTTTGACAGAAGTAAAAGCGAAGCATTACTGATGCAATACGCCTAAGCACAATATCATAAGAACGAATTTTTATGCGTCTAACTTTGAAACCTAATGCCCAAATATGACAATAAAGCAACTATAAAACCTTCAAATAAATACCTCATGAAAATTTCACCAATTCATCATTGAAAAAGTCTGGATTCATGGGTCATGGAATACTGATGAAGGTTGGCTTTAATAGTCAATGAGTCTGGTCTTGTAATCTTTAAGTTACGGGTTCGATTCATGGTGGGTAGTGGGTCCTGAGTATGCTCTGTTGAAAAGTCCAAAATTAGGACGAAACAATTGTCCAGTATTTCCTAGTTTCCAGTAATCTCTAAATGATGTTAGTTTGCAACGACACTTAAATTGATAACTTTGTTTATAGAAAACCTACATCAACGGACCAGTACACACATTTTCTCAGCTTTGTGCCCTTGAAATACAAACGCAATCTGATAAAGTGCTTGGTCCACCACAGAGCAAGAGCGATTTGCTCGGACGAATGTCTTGATGAAGAACTTAATAATATTAAACGGTTGCTAAGTGAAAATGGTTATCCTGAAACGTTTATTGATAAGAATATGAATCTAAAACCAAAGCAGCCGAAGTTACCAACAATTCCAAAAAGGCCTTATTCTTACAGATGAAGTTCCTTGGGGACAGCACCAGCGAGATACTAACACAGAGCCTTAGAAATGCGGTAAAAAGAGCATTCCCTGCTGCTGAATTACACTGTGTCTTTAAAACCACTCCTCTTCTGCGTTCGGAAATAAAAGACAAACTGACTAATTTCGCCTCTTCCGTGTGTATTTACCAATTTAACTGATCCTGTGGAGCCAGTTAGTTGCATAGGCCGTACAATTAGGCGTGTTTCTCGTCGAATTTCCGAACATCACCCTGCGTGTTTAATCAAAGGACAAACAAAATCTATTCGCGGCGCTATTCTGTCTCACCTTGTGGAGACAGAACACAAGATTGACGTTAACCATGCTTTCAGGGTCATTTACCGCATACCTACGAATCTCAATTTCGCCTTAAGAGATCGACTTTTAAATGTTGCTGAGGCTGGTTGTGGGGATCCATATTAACAAGCCTAATTTGTGCATCCAAAAGAAGTTAATTCAGACATCATTACCTTGGCCATCTAAGTTTGAATAATCCTCAATTTTTGTGTAATTTCCCTAGTTTGAGTTGATATTCTATTCGCTATTATATCTTTATTATTATTATCATAATTTAAGCATCTTTAATGAACTGTGATCCCATTGATATTACTTTACAAATCGATATTATTTAAAAAACACTAATATTGTTATTGACTACTAATCTAGAATATTCTGTGTATATAAACATATGCATATATAATTGTATAGCCGGAAGAGGAGTTTATCGAAAATAATATTCTTTGCTCGATTATTTTGTGTTTTATAGATGTCTGAATGAATATTTTTGCTATATCACAATATATTATCTATATCATTACATGAATACGGAAACGGACTGTGCTGCTACAGTTGGCAGCATTATTAAAGTATGATTTAAACCTATTTTCAAAAAGTTGGACATGTAAATTTGTAAACTCTTGGATAGGTGTTCCAGTGAAGAGTGATTTCGTTTTTTTTTATGGTAGGATGAATAATATAGACAACATATAGCAGTCACTATTCTCTAATATCTGATATGCTTTATTTAGAAGAATGTAAAGTACCAGTGAATTCGCTTGCATAACAGAGATGACTGCTTTCACTTATCTAGGGAAGTATCGTTTCAACTTTAGGCGTAATGGATGAAGACAGTCAGGATCGGAAAGGCAAGATACACACGCCTTCATCAATCTGAAACCAGTTTGGAAATCTTCTGTACTCACTTGGCCAGCATAAGGAACAAGATTTACTTTTTCAAAATCTACTGTCAAGTAGTTACCTGTATACGGATCAGAAGTTTAACCAGCGTGTCACAAAAAGGATTTTCAACTGCTTGTTGAAGAAATTCATCGCTCCACACTGAAGATCAAATGGGCATAAACAATAAGTAATAAGAAACTGTGAGAACAAACCAAGAGGTGAGAGATGATTGCTCAACAGTTTTGCAGGAGAAAATGGAGGTGGATCGGGCGCACACTGAGGTGATCGTCGAATGACATCGCACGCCAGGCGATGCTTCGAGTGGACCCTAAATGGGAAGTGATGAGTTGGTCGTGGGTGAAAAGGTGACATGGAGGAGATTGTGTGAAGGGGACAAAATAACACACTGATTTGTATTTCCTGTTAATTACGCTGGACAAAAATCCTCAGTCACTACTGAAACGTCGGTCTGTAGCACTGACGATTCAACAATGTTTGTAGGTTAATATGACACTATTTTCATCGAAGGTGACTAGCAATGGAGTCACTAGAATGCACATTTCTTCCTATTTGTAATGCATTTATTGGGTACATCTGCATTTCCAACTAGAGATGGTGTTCTCACATGGGATGGGAATTCTGTTATCTCATTGACTCGAACAGGCCTCAATCTGTCAATAGAAAATGAAGGGGTAAAAAATTTCCAGAAAAATTCTCAGTCAGAGGTCAAAATGCCGCCATTAACAAAGTGAAGTCAAGTAAAATAAACAGGATGTGAAATAGAAGAGTTAAAACCACATAGAAGGTTCGGATAGTAGACATAATAAAACAATAACGATTTGTTCTGAGGAAGTAGACTGTTTATAATTGCCAGGACAATGACAAAGTTTGGACCCAATTCGCGAAGAAACACGGATTGACTTAAATTTTTTGATTTCTTGTGTTTCATCTATGCCCAGATGTGTAGATCTCCCTCTCTTTGACACTTTTGATGGGATTTTGTATAAGACAAGAAGAATTTCTCAAATACAACTGGTTTGTATCCTGAGTTCAAGAGATGTTGTTCTTTTGTCGAACTAAAGACAGCAAAGTTCTTCCTTTGCTGAACAACCTGGGAAGTGTTCATAGGCTCATTTTACAAGCTAACATATGGTACCGCCTACCAAACTCACTATTGTGCTATTCTCCCGCATACATATGTTCAGTTACCGAAGGAATTGTGATGAAATGTTAGTTCAAATTGTGTAACGTTGGAGTTGAGATTTAATTTGCAGATTGTGAATTTGCTTCAACTTATAACCACTTTGACAAAATCAGTTTGTTTCCAGCCGAGTCAAATTCGATACATCAGTTCGATCTAACTAGTAAACAAAATTGGTTGCTATGAGTGATGTGCTACTACTCATATTAGTAAACCAGTAGTATATAAACGACCAGTCTTATTTTTGTTCACTTCCTCTAAATTTACTCCTTTCTAACTGTACCAACTTGAATCTTTCCATCTTTGTGCGAAATTCCAAATGTACTTATCCATTACAAGTTCCATTCCACGAAGATGGATGCATTCTGTCGATAAATACCATTAATTTTGAAGTATTGGTTTTGTAGCGATTTTGTTTGATTGGTCGGAGGATTTCCTGATGGGATGACATCGGTTAGAGTACTGGACAGTTGTTTCTCAGCCTAGTTTGGAACTGATCAACAGTAATGACCCACTGGAGTTCGAATCCAGGACCTTATGGTTACAAGGCTTGCTAGCTCATGAACCATTAAGCCACTGGGAACCGTTCCAATTGGAAGTGCTTGAATTCTAACTTCTTCCAATTCATGACACAGAGCGAACTTTTCGCAATGTCCTCTTCACTGAGTAGCTATCCTCATCTTCAACTTGCTAAATCCTGCTGGTAATGGCTTCCCACTAGAACCTCAGTTAACTACCTACCTCAATAGTGGCAGTCACTAGTTATTCATATGCTTAAGCAACCCAGCCCGTTATAAGCTAGCTAATGAATATTACTATGAGATGTAGTACGATATAATTCATTATTATTATATCCTTTAATTCCTATAGGAACATAGGGCTTCAGACGCGCGTCTCCATTGCGTTCGATTCTCTCATAAAGTTTTCACCTGGCTCCAAGTATGCCTTCATGCTTTCATCTCCTCTTCACATGACCTCCTTCAAGTCACCCCTGCACTGACGACCAACTCGCCGCTTCCCTTTCGGGTTCCACTCGAGAGATGGCTTATCTAGTGATGTCACTTGATAGTTTCCTCAGAGTATGGCCAATCCATCTCCATTTCTTCCTGCCTATTTGTTTCACAATCGGTTCCTGGTTGGTTGGTTCGCTCATTGCCAGAGATCCCTCCCTGTCGCTGATCTTTTCTGGCTGGCCATCTGATATTGAGTAGTATTGAGCGAAGACAGCTGTTGACGAAGGTCTGTAATTTGTTTGAGGTGCTCTTCATAATGCACCAGGTCTCTGATCCGTATAGTAGCACTTACTGACTTCACATTGGATTTGAAAATCCGGATTTTAATTTCATTTCCATGGTGCGTGCTGTTGACCTCCACACAGACTTGACAGTAATGAAAGCTTGTCTTGCTTTTCCGATTCTTACTATGATATTCTCGTCAGTTCCGTCCGGCTGTACTTGAAACGATGCTTCCCAAGTAGGTAAAGGAGGTTGTTTCTTTCACGTCCAGTAACCATCAATTAGTCGTAGATTTCGATTAATATGAATCTCAATTGCACAAAGTCTTTTCATCATAACCAATAGTTAGTCATTAGCTTAATTTTGAAGGTCAAAATGCGTGCTATTGCGATAAACACAACAACTAACAATGTTTGCCTTTCTGATCACAAAGAAACAGCAAAACTAATCGAAAACAAAACACAAAAACAACAACAACACGATTTTCCTGTTCACTTACCACGACGAACAGAATTAATTTACTTCAGTCACATGAGATGGATGAACTCATCAACATATATAATCTAACCATATGTATTTGTATACACATATTTGTCCATATCAAATTATTGTTCGGTATCTCACGTGTACACATAATGAAATCAACATCACATGAGGCTATACGCAAGCCTCTCATACCATCATCATTCATTAGATTGGCGCGGCCATTTGCAATCAAAAATGTGAGATAAAACAAAATGGGTATATAAGCTCAAGTACCTCTAATGTTGGTTGATTTCAATTGTGAACATCCTTGATATTATCACCTTGTACACAGGGTATTCACTACTCCAAATCTAATTCAATGTAAGTCTACACAGTAAATGTTCTGTTTTAAGTGTTTCTTTATTTGTTAAACATATCTCTGTGAAATTAAAGGGGTTATTATTATATAAGTTTTGGTAGAACGAAATTCCCACGCTTTTGTTTCAATACAATTGGACATTGTACAAAAGAGGCGGTCAATTAAAATTTGAATTTCCTAAGATAATAGTTAGTTTTATATGATTATGTGTGTTATGTTTGCTTAGAGGCGGGTTACCTCTCTTTCTCTCTGTTTTAAAGATGCTTTTTTATTATCCTTTTTTGTTTTAATATAGCTAAAGTATTTGTAGTAGCGTCTGTTTTAAACATAATGCGCGAAATCACCTCACAAAAACTTTATGAATTATTTTCTTTTTCTTTGGTTTTTTAGGGATGAATTAAGAGCTCGTTTTCAATCAGCAGATGTTAATCATTCTGGAAAATTGTCATCTCATGAATTGAAGAGAGTGTTAGATAGTGATTTTGGCAGTGAAATTCCAAAAGAACGTTTTGATGAATTTTTGAGGGATTTAGATCTGAATGACGATCAAGAATGGAGTATTGATGAACTTGTTCAGATTTTCTCTTCATAATGATACTACAAGTGGTGATAGAAATTAGTCTTTAGACATATATACATATTTCACTTCTCATAACATTTTAGTAGTTTTTCTATATATATATATATTCAATTTAAATCAATAAATAAATGTTATATATATAAATTTATTGTTCTGAATCCTGATCGAGTTGTGATGGATAGTTTTAATTGTAAGTGGTTAAACGGTTACTAGAAGCGTTTCATTACCTATATCTGCCTAACAATGATGCGTATTTGCCACTCTGTAACAAATATCATATTCTGTAAGTCAAGTCCGTGACTTGGTCATCAGTGTAAGCGACTGAACGGCACTTTGTTAAACTTATAAAACAGAAAAATTAAGCGAAGAAATATTTAATTTACAATTAGACCCTTATCTTTGGCTCTAATCTAAAATATATTTATATAGCATTTTTATTATAATACACAACAGTTTACCAATCAAGTGGCACTGATATGTTTGTTAACAATAATTAAACAAAGTCAAAATGTCAAGGCGACGGGTGATAATTAACTAGGCAAATCAATACACATATAAAAGGTAGAAATGGTTAGAATAAATTAATTATACAAGGATAACACGTAATTAAAGATGAAATGGTCAGAAAAAATGAAATGATTTGGACAATTATAGTTTCGAAGGTTTAGGGGTTTATACCCTCATGTAACGATGACCAAGGCAAAGAAAGTGGCTGTACAAATTTCTTCTGAATACACAAGTTTGGCTTATTCTTCTTCAGATGGATTCCTATTGCTTCACCTGTCTGTAGAAGACGAACTCGCAGAGCAAAATTAAGGGCGTACAATTAGGCAAGTTCATCGTCGTATTTCTGAACATCATCCAACGTGGTTAAGCAATGAACAAACAAGATCTATTCGTAGTTCTATTTTAGCCCACCTTGTTGATACTGAGCATAAGGTGGATGTTAATACTGCATTTAAAATTATCTATCGCATTCCTACTAATATTAATTATGCTCTACGAGTTCGTCTTCTACATACCTATAGATGAAGCAATAGGAATCCATCTGAAGAAGCCAAACCTGTGCCTGTTCAGAAGAAATTTGTTCAGCCAGTTTCCCTACATTGGCCATCGTTACATGAATGTATAAACCGGACTACTTCGGCCCCCTCCCCTTGAACCTTTAAAATTATAAAAACTGTGGTTGTCCAAATTATTTGATTTTTGATTTTTTCTGACCATTTCATCTTTAACTTACGTGTTATCCTTGTAAAATTAATTTATCCTACCCATTTCTACCTTTTAAATGTGTGTATTGATTTGCTTCGTTAATTATCACCCGTCACAGTAACATTTTGACTTTGTTTAATTATTGTTAACAAACATATCAGTGCCACTTGATTGGTAAACTGTTGTGTATTGTAATAAAAATGCTATATAAATATATATTAGATTAGAGCCAAAAATAAGGGTCTAATTGTAAATTAAATATTTCTTCACTCAATCTTTCTGCTTTCTAAATGTCTCAATGGGAATTTTTCCTATATTGTAAAGTTATAAACGACGATGCATTCAATGAAGAGTTACCCCTTTTCAGCAGTATCATTCTCAAGCTGTACAACCATGTGTACGTTTAATATATTGTCAAAGCAACAAAATGAGTTTTCAGATGATGAGTCCTGGAGAAATTTATGAATTTACTAAATACAGCTTTTTTTTCCATAGTTGTTCAACGTTTCAAATTTTACTTCGGGAAGGAAACGTTTTCAAAAACAAGGAATTTTCTCAGGGATGTGCCACTACTTAATGTAGAAAACATAGATCGTATAGAAGAGCGTAAATTGTGTGTGACATAATATAATTGACAAGTAGACTGAGTAGAGCTCATCTAAAATTAAAAGCGGTCAAGTTAAGGTCAGTATCATGAGGAGTAGAAATGTATTAGTGGGAAAGATAACAAGTTTAGCTAAACCAGTGTTAACAAAAGTTACGGATTGAATGTTCAGACAAACTACGTTCATTGTAGCCTCGGAGACTGGACAAATGTCTTCTGTGTTCAAAATTCTGGATTTAATCTACTGATTGCTCTGTAGCTTCTGAGGGTTGAAGAAGTTTGATTTTTACACTACTCGCAAGATTTATGCCTACTCTATGGTGGATATGACATCAAAGTTTGTTTGCGAATTAGTTTGGTACAGTCTAAAGACATTAATACTCGGATTAAAACTCTATATCAGATATGTTAGTGATGTGCTCTGTGTTTATCAAGAATAATTGACTGTGTCCTTAAGATGACAAAGTTAATCTGTGAGAGATTTGGTTGGCTGGTTGGTTTAAATGTATCCTACCTAAGACCTCTGATTTTCCTTCCTTATGCGGCAATACTGATGGCACTTTGAATTCTATATTATTTTAGTCATTTTCACTGCTAATCCTGTTTATTCTACAGGTCTTTACACATTTCTGAATAAATTCTGGTGAGTAGTTATTCACTTGTAATATTTCCTTTGTATGTTTCATTTCATTATTCAGGTATTCTGAATTACTAGTTAAGCTCTTATCCCAGTTATACTGGCGATTCTTCAGGACCTCAGCTGCAGTATCACCCTTAAATTCAACACCCATAAATAGCAGCTTCTTCTGCACCGTCTGGGTTCTTTCAGGCTTTTCCCTGAACTTCATGTTTTTCTGGGAAAATCTTGGAGTATACCCATTTTCTATGAGAACTTGTCTGAGTCGCCACAGTTCCCCACCGATTGTATCACTGGAGCATATCCTTCTTATTCTCAAAGATAAGGAGTGTATCAGGTTTCTCTTTCTTCTCATCAAAGGGACCTAACTATAAAAATTCGTGTACTGACCATTCTATGTTGGTTTCCTGTAGATAGATCTTTGAAGAGAACCATCAGATCTCTTTTTTTTGAAAAACATCCACAAAAATGGAATTTCGAGTTCATTTATGATTCCGACGTGAATTGGATGGCATGATGGTAGCCTGGAAAAGCCTGAAAGAACTCAGGCGGCGCCGAAGAAACTGCTATTTATGAGCGTTGAATTTAAAGGTGATACTGCAGCTTATGCGGATCACTGAAGAAAGCCACGTATCAATTTCGACAGCCGACAATTATATAGGCATTCAGCTAAACCAATCTCCACAAATTCTAGATTGGAATAATTAAAGTTTAAGTATTTATTAGAGTGTATCGGTTACTTATAACTGTTTGTATCAGTGTCTACTTGCCAGTTAACTTCCTCTTATGGATGAGTTAAGGCGTATCAAGAGGATATCTTCTAGATGCGCTTATGAATACTTACTACCATGCTTAATAGTAATAATAGTAATGATAATAATCTGCTTTCTTGCAAACAGTACTTACTATGCAGCATGGAATTCTCAGCATTCGGCACAATACTGTCGCATGTAATTTACTCAACAATAACGAAAACAACCAAAAATATATTGCAAGGTAACCAAAATTGATAGTAGCAACATTTTGTTATTCGTAGTAATAATCAAGTCAAAAATGTACAAAAAGTTTACAAAAATGATAATGATGTGTTAATAGCTAAAATCATAAGTTAATTGAAATAATGTCGCCATAGATTACAAATAGGAGATGGTCAAAGAGCCAATTATTCTGCTAATTACATAGTAAGTTATGCATTTCATGCCTAACTTTTTCCCTGATATATAAAATGTGTGCCAAATAGAATACTGTTGTATACAAACATATAATCATTTATAATGACTTCATGCAATTCTTCCCATTAATAAACTTGAACAAAGCAATAACAACAATTTTAGCAGGATAATATGAGCTCATCTTTTATTATTTAATCGAGGATTCTTCTCAACTGGTTACAGCCTGAACGATAAAAAATATGAATTACATTAAAGATTTGAACATACTTTTCCAAGATCACAAGGAGTAATTGGTAGGAAGTAAAAGTAACATTAGTCTGGAATGATTTAACTAATTAAGCGTTACAAACGCTGACTATTTATAGGATAATTAGACAATCAGGCTTGGAAACAAAAAACAGAGTTGCGTATATATATGTGTGTGTATAGAAACAAGGTTTACCTAGAAAGAGCATAACAAAAAAGTGGATTACGTAACTGAAGAGAATGTTTTATCTAATATTCCATAGTTGGATTTGTAAGGGTTAGATATACTTTTACGAGTTGATCACGGATTGATATCAGTTAGAGAAGCATTGAAAACCAGGAAGTACTGGACAGCTGCTGTTCCATCCTAGTTATCTAATAGTCAATAGGAAAAAGAAAAGGACAAGGTAAGATGAGTCATATTTAGATGAGAGAGTAGAGTTTTTTAAACAAGAAAAAGAAAAAGGGTGACTCATAAAAGTTGTATATTTTTTTGTTATCACCACGGTAGTGCAAGATTCACCACTGTCTCTTTCTATGTACATAGATTCGATTTAAGTTATTTCATGGCAATTGCTTCAGCAAAGCGTTACAAGCTAGGTTTCTTTTGCTTGTTGATTATTTTAAACGACTTCAGGTTGTCTACAATATGACCAGTGTACAATAGATGACGAGCAATCGCACCGTTTATTACTTCCCGGCCTTTCAGTCTCAGGTTCTTTGGTGTGTCTACTAATTTACATGTACGTGGCAAAGCACATACATTGGAAGAACAGCGAGAAGCGTTATGGTCCGAATTTCTGAATGCATACCAAAGAAACTGAGAGTGATTTAGTTTCTTTCTATTCCGTTGTCTTCGTCTGTGCTACGAACATCTTGTGAACTAACAAATTCTCGCTTGAAAGTGAAGTTAACTTTATGAATATATGTGCAAAACTTGAGCACTGTAGTAGTAAGCTATTCCATATTAGTTTGTTTATACATATATCGCTCACAGTGAGTGAAACAGAATTATTTACTGGATGACGAAGTTTTGAACACAATTCATTATTTTTCATAATCATAACATCAATTATAATCACACGACTTCGAAACTCGAGTTTTATAGTTTTCTTTGTCCTCTCCTATTTGTCGTCTTTGA